ATAATCTAAACTAATATAGAAAGAACAAACTAGAGGTAGCAACAAAAGTAATGAAATGGATGAATGATAAATAAATTATCCTTTCTAATTGTTTGAAAAGGGTAAAATTGTAATTTTACTGGGGATACTTTCTTCTTTGTTTCATTTCCCTTTTTTCTAGAATATTTTATGTAATTTAATAAAGAATGTTCGTTTCTCTATATCACAAATCTTTATAGAACATTCTATGTCACTCAAATGTGGTGAAATGAATATGAAACGCAATAATTGAACATTAATTTATTATTTTATGCTATAAAAATATTGAAATACATAACAGTTTATTCACACTAGTATACAAGGAAAATACTGAAGTCTAATAATTCAATATCATTTTAATATTTTATGTTATAAAATATTGAAAATAGAATATACACCTACACACATAAGGTTCTAAGCATGTATCTATTCGACAATTTATTTACACTAATATATAAAGAAAATAATGATGACATAATTAGTGGAGGATTTCAAGTCCGAAAAACGAAGATAAAAGCACTCAAAAACCATTTGACCCTCATTATTTCCACATACTATTAAATATACATTCTAAATCCATATTACATATAAAAAGGGCCTTGTCAAAACTTTCATTTTTACCCTTTTAAGTTTGATAATTCTCAAATATGTCATTAGTTGTAATTAATCATTCACTTATTATATATAGCCTCTTATTAATTATGCATTTCCTCATGTTTTCAAAACCTTTGGTCAGACTATTATTTTATTATTTAATTATGTTAGTTAATAGAAATTTTAAAATTTATCTTTAATTTATCTGCACATAATGTTTAAAATTCTAGAAATGTTAAAAATAAGGGAAAAATGTGTCGGGGCCCCAAAAGCTGAAAAATCATGTGACGAGGCCCCTTGTATTTTCCCCCTTGTGTATAAGCCCCAAAAAGCAGCCTTTAATATTTCTAGGGCCCTACACGTCAGCTGTATACAAAAGAGGCATTGTATTTTAAAAAAACCCGACTTTGCCCTTCTCCTTCTTCCCCAGACGCTTCGTCACCACTCTTCGTCACATCCTATTAAATGCAAACTACTGTAAGAAATGGAGGAAAACTTCCCTCCTTTTTCAGTCTATCATGAGCAATAAATATATAGTTATCCATTACTCTTCCTCAGACCAAAATTCTCTCCATTACTCTTCCTCAGACCAAAATTCTCTCCATTACTCTTCCCTCCACTTCATAATGGCTGAAAAGGACATCACCTGCGTCGTAGCTTCGGGTGATAGAGCAGTATTCATGAAGATTAACACTTCAACCACCATTCTTGATCTAAAATTTGATGTGTCAGATAGGTTAGATCTTCCATATGAATCATTAAGTTTATCATTCAAAGATGAAACGAATGGAAGTTTCAAATTTCCTATTGAGAACGAGGGGGATCTGTCGTCTATGGTGGAGCATTGTCATAACAGAGGATTAAAGGAGGTTCACATGCAAGCTTTCAAGGAAAAAGAGGATTCTTCAAAAGTCCACAGCGACGTTCAAGTTCGACAAGACATGTAGGAGCAAGGATTTTTCTGATGCTAAGACCAATATTCATGTAATATCAGTTAATGTTAGTTCATTGGATTATAGCTCGGATTCTAATAGATTTGCTAGTTCTAGCCCACAACTTGCTAGTTATAAACCCAGCCCTCGTTTTTTAATTCAAACTTAATAATTCTCGCTTCTACGTTAGTTCTAGCTTCCATTACCCTAGTTCTAGCTTGTATACAGCCAGTTCTAGCCAACAACTTGCTAGTTCTAAACCCAGCCCGCGTTTTTAATGCAAACTTGTAAATTCTAGCTTCTACGTTAGTTCTAGCTTCTATCTCACTAGTTCTAGCTTATATACAACCAGTTCTAGCCCACAACTTGCTAGTTTTAAACCCAGCCAGCGTTTTTTAAATGAAAACTTGTTAAATCTAGCTATTACGTTAGTTCTAGCTTCTATTACCCTAGTTCTAGCTTGTATACATCCAGTTCGAGCCCACAACTTGCTAGTTCTAAACCCAGCCCGCGTTTTTTCATGCTAAGTTGTTAATTCTAGGTACTATGTTAATTCATGTAATATCAGTTAATGTCGGTTCTAATAGATTTATTGTTAAGTATAATCTATTAGTTGTTAGTTCCAATAGACTTATTGTTAGTGCTAATCGATTTGCTATGAGATCTAGTTCAAACTGTGTTAGGTCCAACATGTTAGTATGAGATCTAGTTCAAACTGTGTTAGGTCCAACATGTTAGTTCTAAGTGACTTCATGTTCGGTCTAAAGTTTTCATGTTAGTTCTAAATAAAATCTTGTTAGTTCAATTGGATTCCACGATAGTTATAACACAAGCAGTTGATGTTTTTTTTGCTTTTTTCCTTAGTTGTGTTATTTGTTGATGTTTCTATTGTATAGTTTATGATCATTTGTTCGTGTTCTTTAAATTTGCAGCGCTACCAGCAGTATGAACTCAAAAAGCATAGAGGGTCGCTGCCCACATGTGTTTCAGATAGGATCCCCAATGATAATCCTTCCGAAGATAATGTTCCGATGATTGATGACATGATTAGCAGATCAGAGAGGATTCCTGCTTGGTGGCACACTGCTTTAACCGGTGAGGGACAACGGTTTGAGAGTGCGAAGGAATTAAGATTGGCTTTACTATACTATTCCATGGCCAAAAAATTCGAGTACTTGTTTGCTAAGAATGAACCGAAGCGTATTCGAGTCTTTTGTCGGTTCAAGGAAGCCCAAAATTGCCCGTGGATGTTATTTGCCTCTCCAACGCAAAATGAGAACAGACTTGAAATCAAAACCTTCGTGGACAACCACACATGTGGGAATTTTGGCAATAATGCAGGTCAATCTAGGGCGTCACGACAATTCATTGCGACCCAAGTATTACCCACGTTAAAGGTCCGACCAGATTTACGACCTATCGACGTACAAAAGGAGTTACTAACTTCGTATGGGCTTAGGGTCGATTATAGCAAGATATGGTGGGGTAAAGAAAGAGCACAAGAGCAACTATATGGTGATGCCCATGAGTCCTACGATCAATTACGATGGTAAAAGAAGATAATATCTATAATATAGACACTAATTTCATTTATGTTGATCCTAACATATAATCTTCAATGGTCTAGGTATGTAGAAGAGGTTAAGAAGACAAACCCAGGTAGCTACATTCATGTTGAACAAAATGAGGGGAGGTTTTCAAAGCTATTCATCTGTTATGCCGCCTGCATAAATGGGTTTTTGAACGGTTGTAGACCACTTATATTTTTGGATGGTACCTTTCTGAAAGATCGTTTCAAAGGTATACTCCTCAGCGCCGTTGCATACGATGGAAATCATGGGATATTTCCATTAGCCTATTGCATCTGCGATCAGGAAAATACTGTAAACTGCAATTGGTTCTTACAAGGTTAGTTCGGGTCATGTTAGTTCTACTAAAATTCATGCTAGTTCTAACTCATTCGTTGTTAACTCTAACTTCAAATATGTTAACTACAAATATTTCGTTGTTAACTCTAACTTCAAATATGTTAACTACAAATATTTATAGGTTTATGGTCTACTCTCTATGAAATGCCAGATCTATAGAACCCTCCACACAAGCTAGTTATAATATCTGATGCGGATAAGGGGATCAGAGAAGCAGTCAGAGAATATTTTCCGGATGCTATACACTCTAGATGTGTTCTGCATCTAGTTGAGAATTTCAGGACAAAGTTGCGGGATTTGGGTTTCAAAGCAAAGGATACTCGGATTTTGGGCAACCTTTTACAATCTGCTTGTTACAAATATACTAAAGCAGAATGGAATGACTATGTGGAGGACATTAGACTGGCGGACGAATGAGCCTACAATATTGTCATGAACTACGCTCCAGAGAATTGGGCTAACGCATTTTCCCCCCGAATTAGGAATTTATAAGCTATGTCATTTCTTATTTCAGTTAGTTGTTTGCCTAACTAAATTAGACATGAATGGATACACTGGAACTAACTATAACCTAGTCGGAACTAACATAGACGATATACCCAACACTTGTAATAGAACATGGGTAATAACCCAGTTAGATGGAGTTAGAACTAACTGTGTACCATCTAGAACTATCACGATAGAAGCTTTCACTAAGAACTACTCAGCTAGAACTGACATGACAAATAACTCAGTATTTTTGATGAATTCCCTGTTATGTTCCAGATATGGTCACGTTACATCAAATGTTACAGAGTCATTCAACAAATGGATACATGAGGCTAGGCTTCTACGGATACTACAACTCGTAGAACACATACGTAAATAGATTGTGGTTCGCATGAATGAGCGATGATTAATGGCCGAAAGTTGGAATGGATTTCTTTGTCCCAAAGCTGAACTTGTCCTCAAAGAGAACATGGAAAATGGGCATCCATTGGATGTGCGTCAGTCTCATACAAGATTATTTGAGGTACAATCTCATAAAACTTGTAAAGTGGATCTTGACAATAAAACATGCACGTGCCGCGCGTGGGATGTAACCCGTATCCCTTGCAAACATGCATGTGCAACCATTATGTTTATGAAGAGGGATGTTTACCAATTCTGTGACTAGTTTATGACGGTTGAAGCTTTTAAAAAGAGCTACGAGCCAATCCTCTACCCCATCCCCGATTATGAGAAGCGTAGCATACCACGGGAGGAGATACAGATCCTACCACCATTAACAACAAAAAGGAAAGGGAGAAATAAGACCAGGCGTATCAACAACAGAAAAGTTTACACCCGGCCACTTAAATGCTCTCGATGTTATGTGGAAGGTCACAACCGTAAAACATGTAATGAATCTATTGCGGACTAAGTACTTAATATGTTGTTAACTGTTTTGCTTGTATATTTACAAACTAGTATGTTTTGTTTAATGTTGAAAGTATTTTCATGTGTGATGAGAACTAGCATCATCTCCACTAGAAAAAATGTTGTAAGTATTAGAACTACACGAGAACAAATAGATCTGACAATGGCTAAGATAGAACAGACACGACAGCATCTAGAACTAAAACTAGGGCTGGGTTTAGAACTAGCAAGATATGGGATAGAACTGGCTGTATACACGCTAGAACTAGTGGGATAGAAGCTAGAACTAATATGGAACCCAGAATTAACAACTTAGAATGAAAAAAAAACGGGCTGGGTTTAGAACTAGCAAGTTGTGGGCTAGAACTGGTTGTATACAAGCTAGAACTAGTGGGATAGAAGCTAGAACTAACCTAGAACCCATAATTAACAACTTAGCATGAAAAAACTAGGACTGGGTTTAGAACTAGCAAGATGTGGGCTAGAACTGGGTGTATACAAGCTAGAACTAGTGGGATAGAAGCTAGAACTAACGTGGAACCCAGAATTAACAACTTAGAATGAAAAAAACGCGGGCTGGGTGTAGAACTAGCAAGATGTGGGATAGAACTGGCTGTATACAAGCTAGAACTAGTGGGATAGAAGCTAGAACTAACGTGGAACCCAGAATTAACAACTTAGCATGTAAAAAACATGGGCTGGGTTTAGAACTAGCAAGATGTGGGCTAGAACTGGCTGTATACAAGCTAAAACTAGTGGGATAGAAGCTATAACTAACGTGGAACCCAGAATTAACAACTTAGCATATAAAAAACACGGGTTGGGTTTAGAACTAGCAAGATGTGGGCTAGAACTGGCTGTATACAAGCTAGAACTAGTGGGATAGAAGCTAGAACTAACGTGGAACCTAGAATTAAAAACTTAGAATGAAAAAAACGCGGGCTGGGTTTAGAACTAGCAAGTTGTGGGTTAGTCCTGGCTTTATACAAGCTAGAACTATTGGGATAGAAGCTAGAACTAACGTGGAACCTAGAATTAACAACTCAGCATGTAAAAAACACGGGCTGAGTTTAGAACTAGCAAGATGTAGGCTAGAACTGGCTGTATACAAGCTAGAACTAGTGGGATAGAATCTAGAACTAACGTGGAACCTAGATTAACAACTTAGCATGTAAAAAACACGGGCTGGGTTTAGAACTAGCAAGATGTGGGTTAGAACTAGTGGGATAGAAGCTAGAACTAACGTGGAACACAGAAATAACAACTTAGCATGAAAAAAACGCGGGTTGGGTTTAGAACTGGTATGATGTGGGCTAGAACTGGCTGTATACAAGCTAGAACTAGTGGGATAGAAGCTAGAACTAACGTAGAACCCAGAATTAACAACTTAGCATGAAAAAAACTAGGGCTGGGTTTAGAACTAACAAGATGTGGGCTAGAACTGGTTGTATACAAGCTAGAACTAGTGAGATAGAAGCTAGAACTAACGTGGAACCCAGAATTAACAACTTAGCATGTAAAAAACACGGGCTGGGTTTAGAACTAGCAAGATGTGGGCTAGAACTGGCTGTATACAAGCTAGAACTAGTGGGATAGAAGCTAGAACTAACATGGAACCCAGAATTAACAACTTAGCATATAAAAAACACATGCTGGGTTTAGAACTAGCAAGATGTGGGCTAGAACTGACTGTATACAAGCTAGAACTAGTGGGATAGAAGCTAGAACTAACTTGGAACCCAAAATTAACAACTTAGAATGAAAATAACACAGACTGGGTTTAGAACTAGCAAGTTGTGGGTTAGAACTGGCTGTATACAAGCTAGAACTATTAGGATAGAAGCTAGAACTAACGTGCAACCCAGAATTAACAACTTAGCATGAAAAAAACATGGGATGGGTTTAGAACTGGTATGATGTGGGCTAGAACTAGCTATATACAAGCTAGAACTAGTGGGATAGAAGCTAGAATAAACGTGGAACCGAGAATTAACAACTTAGCATGTAAAAAACACGGGCTGAGTTTAGAACTAGCAAGATGTGGGCTAGAACTGACTGTATACAAGCTAGAACTAGTGAGATAGAAGCTAGAACTAATATGGAACACAGAAATAACAACTTAGCATGAAAAAAACGTGGGCTGGGTTTAGAACTGGTATGATGTGGGCTAGAACTGGCTGTATACAAGCTAGAACTAGTGGGATAGAAGCCAGAACTAACGTAGAACTCAGAATTAACAACTTAGCATGAAAAAAACTAGGGCTGTGTTTAGAACTAGCAAGATGTGGGCTAGAACTGGCTGTATACAAGCTAGAACTAGTGGGATAGAAGTTAGAACTAACATGGAACCCAGAATTAACAACTTAGCATGTAAAAAACACGGGCTGAGTTTAGAACTAGCAAGATGTAGGCTAGAACTGGCTGTATACAAGCTAGAACTAGTAGGATAGAAGCTAGAACTAACGTGGAACCCAGAATTAACAACTCAGCATGTGAAATATTAGCAACAGCCTCGGCATAACTATCTACATTCTCACTTTCTCTTCCAACATGCCCCTCTTCCCTATACACAATCTCCGCCTCTTTCTGTACATTCTCCCCAACCCTGCTATCTACATTCCACCCTTCTCCACCAACAAGCTCCTCTTCCTTCTCTGATTTCCTATCTACATTTTCCACCTCCTTATCTATATTATCCCTATCTACATTTTTCTCCTCCTTATCTACATTATCCTCAACCTTGTTATCTACAATAACCTCTTCTCTATCTGAATTCTCCGCAGCTTTATTCTCGGGGGGTTCCGCTTCACCATTCTTCTGGGGGGCGACATCCTCCCCGTCTTCCCCTTCTATTATAGCTTTCCCCTCAGCTATATTCCCAACATCAATTCCTTCTTCCATTGAACCAACAGGCTCCACAACTTTGCCTTCCATTGTGGTGCCCTCCAAATCAACTTCACATCCATGAACAGCAACATCATCAACATGCTCCTCAGCATCATCCTCAGCCATCTTATGTTCAGCTTCTTGCATGATGGGGTCTTCCTTATGTAATCTACTAGATTTGGAAGGTTGTTCCTCCTCATCAGGCCGTGGGTTCAGCTTTATTTTTTTTTATAATTTTTTGTTTGATATTTGCCTTCAGTACCACGGGGTCTATGACGTCATCAGGTCTTCCAAGTTCTTCAATTATTCTGTTTAGCCTGTTGATCTCAATCATAAATTCTTTACAATATGTACTCTTGCTCTGCTTTGTGGCAAAGAGTAGTCGTTGGAGGAATTTAGCAGAATTTCTCCAAAATCTTGCTCTGCTTTGTGGCAAAGAGTAGTCGTTGGAGGAATTTAGCAGAATTTCTCCAAAAGGTAAGTTTCTGCTCAATGGGTAGATCCTTCACCTCCTCTTCATCTTCAAAAGCATTATCAATATGTTTTGACATGATCTGAAATTATTAAGAGATTATATTATAATAAAATAGGATTAGATAGACATGGATATTGTTTACATTTAGCTTTAGACAGCTTAGACTTAACAGGATACTTACATAGCCTATTGAGAAGTTCTTCGTTTCCTCTGCCCTCACCTTCCTCTTTAATTTAGGCACATGACGCACTCCTTCACTCCCCTGAATGACGGGAAGTGCAACAACCTTTGAAGGAGCAGGCCCAACTTCCACAACAGGGCGATCAACTTTAGTTATTGAAGCTGATTTAGCCTTCAATGTAACGGTCCTCACCCTCAAATATATATGAGACTTTCACCTCCTTTTCTGATGCCCAGTTTGTCATTGGAGGTCTGGACTTGTCGACGTAGGCATATTTCTTTAACCCCGTCATCTCATAGTACCAAAGCTAAAGCAAATACATTAAGCGTTCAAATCAGAACTAACAAGGCATAAATTAGAGCTAACAAACAGATACTCTGTTAGAACTATTGTGATCCCAACTAGAACCTAGAACTAGCATGTCTCCTATTAGAACTAAGGTGAGATGCAATAGAACTAACCGAACTTTATTAGAACTAACGTGACCCAATTTTGAACTAACATGATGCCATTTAAGGCTTAGCAGCATGACCCAAATAAGGACTAACATGAATACGGCTAGAACTAACATGAGCAGAAACTAGAACTAACGTGGTGAAAAGTAGAACTAACATAGCAGAAACCAGAACTAACATGGCATAAGTTAGAACTCATATGTCATGAATCAGAGCTAGAATGAACCAATTTGAGTAAAACATGGCACTTACACACAAAAGTGTCATGCAACCAGGGACATATGTGACCCCTGGCTTCTTCTTGCACTCCACAACAACTTTAATCCCCCTGTTAATTTCTGAATAAAAGAATTGAGCCCAAGCTACCGTTTTGACCCTCTCAATGCTATCCAGATATCTGAGTAGAGGTCTAGGGATACCCTCCCCGCTCCTGGGGCACCATATCATCGAGCATTGGTATAGAATTTGCAGCAGAACAAAATCTTGGATATCCTCTTCTTCTGTAGACTCCACGAGCCTTTCCAGCTGCCCTTCAAGGTATCTTCAATGGGTAATTGTTGCTTTTTTTAACTTCTTCCCATCTTTAGTTTTGAAAAGATGAGCGAAGTATTACAGCCAGATTCTGTTTGTTGAGTCCCGGTTGATACGTATGACTTCCCCATAAGCTGGGAAGTATGTATGGTTATGGACCCATTGCAAATCAAATTTAACACTTTTCAAGCCCCTAGTCTTTGAATCAGGGATAGAAAAGGTGTCATTGGCGCTATTATAATAACTCAGCAGCAGTTCAAGCGTGGGGCGATCAGGCGCAAGAAGCCCGAATAAAATATAGTGCTGAAATATCGATCCGCGATATGCATCCCTGTGACACTGACGCATCTTCGGAGCAATACACTTCATGAATTGCTAATAACCCGTGATATTGACGGTTAGCCTTAAAGATTCAAACGCGTTATTTTGAGCAAGCCTTTTCCTATAAAAATAAAAATTTCAAGTTCAATTAGAACTAACGTGAACTGAATTAGACCTAACACTAAACGGCATCTAATAGAACTAACGCCGACTGTTATAGAACTAACATGGACTCAAACTAGAACTAACATTGCCTAGCACTAACATTAGGGCACGACATCTAATAGAACTAACGCCGACTGTTATAGAACTAACATGGACTCAAACTAGAACTAACATTGCCTAGCACTAACATTAGGGCACATTACTTCGAAACCCCAAATAGTGGATAACCTAGCACTTACTGTTTTTCTGGGGGGGGTACGATGGCACGGCCAGCCCTTGCCGTTCTTCTTTGGCGGTTTCGCCATTCTAGGGCCTGCTTTTGCATTACCATGAGGGTTTGAGTGGCTTCCTCTGTGCTGCCAACCCCAGACGAATCGTCTTTTTCCTTCAAATCGACGCGATGAGAGATTTTGTAGTCATTTACCGATTCCGCTTCCCTGGACAACATTTTTCGGCGAAAAACCTAGCCCACGAAAATAAACTCCGTCGTTGGAAATGGAAGTTTGAGAGTTTCAGTGGCTCTTTTGTATTTTGGAAGAGAGAGAGAAATAGAGGTGGGGTTCTTAAAAAAAAGGCCCCGTAATCGAGTCCAGTCCATTTAATGAGATGTGACGAAGCGTCTGGGGACGAAGGAGAATGGCAAAGTCGGTTTTTTTCAAAATACAATGCCTCTAGCTGTATACAGCTGACGTGGAGGGCCCTAGAAATATTAAATACTGCTTTTTGGGACTTATACACAAGGGGGAAAATACAAGGGGCCTCGTCACATGATTTTTCAGCTTTTGGGGCCCCGACACATTTTTCCCTGAAAATAATAAAAATTTATTAGGCTTACGCCTTATGCCTTTGGGTTTCATCTCTTACGGAGGACTACATGTTACCTTTTATTTTATTAGCCATTTAAAAGTTTGATAATAGTATGAAAAATAATTTGTATCTATTGTAATTGTAATAGTATTAATAGTATAATAATTTTAGTAGTCTTTTTTAAATTAATAGCTTACACTGTAATTTGATAATAATACAATTTAATAAATTATTTACTAATAATGTAATAAACTAATTATGAAACTAAAATATAGTTACTAATAGTATTATAATTATGTTATGTATAATATTATTATATTTAAAAGAGAAGAAATTATTTAACATATTATAATTATTTTAATAATTATGAATAAGTTATAATAGTTATTCAACTATATAATTAATCATATAGTTCTTTATAGAGTTTTATTGAACTTAAGACTCATGATTACATCCTTCTTCACCAATTGCTTCCCGTGGCACTCCGTAACAATACGGCTGATGATAAAGTAACAAAAGGTTATAATTGAATTATGTTGATTTTTTTGGAATATATATACTCTTATGTTGAGTGGCAATCTTTTCAGGTTAGAGGAGGTATTCTAGTAGAAAGCAGTAGTACGATACAACATTCTAATACAAACGAAGCTAATAACAGGGATGCCGACAACGACGATGACGAGGAGCGAGTGAGACTTGTTCTTATATTTATGTAGTTTTAGATTGTGTTAAGACATGTTGTGACTTTTGAATTTTACCTACATGTATTATATTTGTGATTTTATTGCTTAGTGAATGAATATTGTTTGAACATGCGAGATGTTTTATGATTATGATTATTGAATGAGTATTGTTCGATATTGTGGATTGGTGGATGATGATGATGAGTATTCATTTGGAATGTGAATGTATATCATGGTTGATTTTATGATATATTGTTAAATATTATCATTGGATTGATGTGGATACAGACTATATATGTATTCCCGTCTGGGAGGCTACCAAAGATAATTTTTTATATGCATATTTAATGCGTATTGGCGACGGGGTCATCCGTCGCCAATGTTTAAAACATTAGCGACGGACAAGCCGTCACCGATACTCATTGGTGATGGGCTTCCTGTTGCCAATGTTTAAAACATTGGGGACAGATTGCCCCATCGCCAATAAGCTTTGGTGACGGGTGCAACCCGTCGCCAAACATTTCCATCACCAATGCGTATTGGTGACAAATTTATTGGCGACGGATCATGTATCATCACCAATGTGTAATGGTGACGGATTTTGGGGCATTGGTGACGAATTTCCCCGTCGCCAATGCCCTCTTTGTTACTAGTGAGTGTTCATGAAGTAATAAATAATTTTTTTTGAAAGTAACAAAAATAGTCTCTAATTTCTTCATTTCAACTACTTAACAACTATTTCTGTACAAGCAAACATTCCCTTATTATTAGTAATTAATGATATTGATTAGATGAAGCTTAGTGTGTATTTGTAGAGTTTTCGAGGAGTTCTCGATTTTGTTCATGACAAAACCTATGAGAGAGAATAACCTAGCTATAAAAACTTAGTCTGACAAAAAAGTCAATCTAATTAAAGCGGATTCTCATCCTTACATCCAAAGTTCAGAGTTGAGACTATTAGATGGGGTTTCACAGTGGATTAATAGAGTAATTACGAAGAGTTAACTTCTTTTTATCTTGCAAAAGGCGACAAATTAAGTATTGTGTGAAATGAGTTAATGAAATTAGTGAATAAGAGATGGATGTAATGGTTTGGTTTTAAAACAAGAAAAAGGACCGAGTTTTGCTAGCATACTGCGGAGATCAAAGGTTTGATTTACTAAGTGTTGAAAATTAAACTATACGGAATCCCTTTGAGTTGTTGCAATGTTTCATTGTTGCCAAGTCAAACAAGCGTGAATCATCGGATGTCGTGGTCCATTAATATTGCAGAATCTTTTGATATCCGACAGGTCACCAACATATGGACACGGGAAGCACGTGCCACTGAAAGCTCTTGCTTCCTGCCACGTGCTTGTGTTCGAGTCCTATTTAGTTGGCAATAATAACAACAATAATAATATGGTTTTTCTATAGAGTGCCGGCACTCTATAAGAGATGAGAAAGATAGAAAGATATGATTAGGGAGGGGATCCCAATGCAAATCAGGTAGGCCCCCCTCCTCAATC